GAGAATAACTTCTTCTTGCAGCAATATACTCAGCCTCTGCAGTGGATAGATACGCATAATTTTGCTTCTTATTGAACCAAGATATGATATTATTTCCCAAAAAGAAGCATCCTCATGATGTACTTTTTCTATCATCAGTACTTCCTGCCCAATCAGCATCATAAAAACCAGTTAAGGAAGAATTAGATCCATGGGAGTAGAGTATACCATAGTCACTTGTCCCATTCACATATTTAAGAATTCTCTTCACACGGTTGACATGGCTAACTTTATGATCAGCTCGATATCTTGCACACACTCCTACAACAAAGGCAATGCCTGGTCTGCTAGTTGTGAGATATAGAAGGCTGCCTATCATACTTCTGTAAAGACTTTGATCTACACTTACTCCTTTTTCATCTTTAGTCAACTTCAGATGTGTGGGAGCAAGGGTTCTTTTGTGACTGGAATTTTCCATCCCAAACTTCTTCACTATATTCTTGGCGTACTTGCTCTGAGATAAAAATATGGAATCTTCCATTTGTTTAACTTGCAGACCAAGAAAATAGGTTAATTCACCAACAAGACTCATCTCAAATTCTGACTGCATTTGCTTGACAAAATGTTGAACCATCTCATTTGACATCCCACCAAACACAATATCATTAACATAAATTTGTGCAATCATGATCTTCCCTTCTTCTTCCTTGACAAAAAGATTTTTGTCTATGCCACCTTTCCTGTATCCATTCTCAACAAGAAATTCTGCCAGTCTCTCATATGAAGCTCTTGGAGCTTGCTTTAATCTATACAGAGCTTTCTTCAGTTTGTAGACATGTTTAGGAAAACTTGGATCAACAAATCCCTTTGGTTGTTCCACATAAACTTCTTCATTCAGATAGCCATTTAAGAAGACACTTTTTACATCCATTTGAAACAGTTTAAATTTCAGTATGCATGCAACTCCCAAGAGTAGTCTAATTGATTCAAGTCTAGCCATAGGGGCAAAAGTTTCATCTAAGTCAACTCCTTCAATTTGAGTATACTCTTTTGCAACTAACCTTGCCTTGTTTCTAATGACCACTCCTGTTTCATCAGATTTATTCTTGTACACCCATTTTGTGCCAATCACATTTGTCCCTTCAGGTCTTGGAACAAGATCCCAAACTTCATTTCTACTGAATTATTCTAGCTCTTATTGCATAGCATTGACCCAGAACTCGTCATTTAGGGCCTCCTTGACATTATTAGGCTCAATATTTGACACAAAGCAAGAGTTTGATATCCCATCTCTTGATCTGGTAGTAACTCCTTTATTTAGATCTCCTATGATAAGCTCCTTATGATGGTCTCTTTGGGTTCTAATTGAAGGTCATTTATTGAGATGACTAGGCTCAAGATCTTCTTAAGGTGGATTAGAATCAATACTTCTGTCATTTGATTATGTTGGAATATCAAACACAGATGTTCCAACATCTTCTGAGACATCTTCTTCAGCACTCCATCCTCTATCATCAATAATAACATTTATTGACTCCATCATAACTTTGGTTCTGGAGTTAAAAACTCTATAGGCTCTGCTATTTGTAGAGTAACCCAGGAATATTCCTTCATCACTCTTGGGATCCATCTTCCTCCTTTGTTCATGATCAGCTAAGATGTAACAATTACTTCCAACAACATGAAAGTATTTAACAGTTAGTTTTCTTCCCTTCCTTATTTCATACAAGGTGGATGAAGTTCCTTTCCTTAGAGTGACTATGTTATGGATATAGCATGCAGTATTCATAGCTTCAGCCCAAAAATGGTAGGGTATCTTCTTAGCATGAATCATGGCTCTGACAGATTCTTGGAGAGTTCTATTCTTGCGTTCCACAATCCCATTTTGTTGAGGAGTAATAGGAGAAGAGAATTCATGGCTGATTCCTTCAGAGGAGCAAAAGTCAGCAAATTTATTATTCTTAAATTCCTTTCCATGATCACTTCTGATTCTTATGATATGACTTTCCTTTTCTCTTTGAAGTTTTTGACATAGATCTTTAAACACTTCAAACGTTTCTGATTTTTCTCTAATAAAGCTTATCCATGTGCATCTAGAAAAATCATCTACAACAACATAGGCATACTTCTTACCTCCAAGACTTTCAACTTGCATAGGTCCCATCAAGTCCATGTGAAGAAGTTCCAAAACTTTTGATGTAGTGAGATGTTAGATCTTCTGATGTGACATCTTAGTTTGCTTTCCAATATGGCAGTCACCATATATTCTACCTTCTTCTATCTTGAGCTTAGGAATCCCTCTCACTTCTTCTTCAGATATAATTCTTTTCATACCTTTCAGATGTAAGTGCCCCAACTTTTGATGACATGGTTTAACTTCATTCTCTTTGTAAAGAACACGTGTTGAAGAGAGGTTTAACTCTTGAGGAACCCATATATAACAGTTGTCTTTAGATCTGATTCCTTTCATAATAACTTCATTCTTTTCATTGCACACAAGACATTCTTCATTGGTGAAGTTAACTTTGAATCCCTGATCACACAATTGGCTTATACTTATCAGGTTAGTTATTAACCCTTTAACAAGTAACACATCATCAAGCTTAGAGACTCGTGAACAATCAAGCTTGCCAACACCTTTGGTTTCACCTTTTGCTCCATCACCAAAAGTCACATAACTGGTGGAATGAGATTTGACATCTAGCAACAGATTTTTGGCACCTATCATGTGTCTAGAGCAGCCACTGTCAAAATACCAGTCATCTTTGGTTGACACTCTGAGGGAGGTGTGAGCTATGAAACTAGCCACTTTAGACTTGGGAATCCACTATTTCTTATGTTTGTTATTTTGTGGAATCTTATCAGTCTTGGGAGGAGGGGTAGTCTTAGGATACCTAAACAACTTGAAATAGAAGGGCCTTATATGACCAAGCCTTCCACAGTGATGACATCTCCAGGGCTGGGGATTCTCCTTGATGTGATTAAAAGTTTTCTTGCCATGATGTCCTTTCTTTGCCATGATGTTTAGACATTTGATTCAACATCCTTGGTTTAGATTTGGCCTGGGTGGAATATGATGAAGATTCTTCTGAGTTAGGTTTCTCTTTCTCATTAAACCCTAGACCACTCTTGTCTCCAGTCACTCTCCCTACTTGAAGAATTTCATCTAATTTTTCATATCCATTATTTAGCATCTTGAGAGATTTGACCATTCTATTAAGGTTTGAATTCAAGGAAGTCACATCACTTTCCAGATTAGAAATAGTTTTTAAATGTTCTTCCCTTTCTTCCTTAAGTTGAGTTATGATGACTTTTGTTTCTCCCCTTCAAGCACACTTCTGCACTTTTGAGACATAATTCTTTGTATGAAGCAGCTAACTCGTCAAAGGTTAATTCCCCATCACTAGACTCTTCATCAGATACATATTTTCATGTCAATGCTTTAATATATTTGCCAGATTCTTCAAGATCACTTTCTGAGTCCTCTTCAGACCAAGTAACATACAAATTTTTCTTTTGTTTCTTAAGATATGTAGGACATTAAGCTCTAATGTGACCAAAGCCTTCACATTCATGACATTGTACTCCCTTCCCTTGAGTGGATTTTTCTTCAGCCCTTTTTCTTCTAAACTCATTTGACTTATAGATGTCAGATGAGATGTTCTTGACATTTGATCTTTGGTTCCTATCCATTCTTTTTATCACTTTGTTAAATTGTCTTCCAAGCATAACTAAGGAATTTGATATTCCTTCATCTGTATCCAAATCATAGTATGGGAGTATACTTCCCTATTCTGTAAAGCTTCTCTGAGAGTATGGTGTACTTGCAAGCTTTTCTTTTGATCTTTCTCGCTTCTCCCTCATTCGGCGGAGTTCGCCCGAATATATATAGCGTAGTATGGGTGACATCTAACTAGACTTAAAAACGAGTTTCATAAAGTATGTTCCATCTGCTTTGATGTTGAGAGAGGCGAGAGTCTCTTGAATGACAGTCCTGCTAAACTCTACCACCTTCGAAGTAGTTAATTTAGACAAGAGAGTTAATTTATTTTGTTTATTTTTTTTCTTTATTTTAGTTTTGTAACAAAATAAATAAATAGTAATTCATTTATAATTTGTTGCGGTGAGATGAAAGTAGAAAACCTTAGAAAAGGAGTGGTGTTTTGGCACCACACTGGATTGAGTTATAGGTGAGTACGGTAGTGACTAAGTGCTTATAAACCCATAAATACCACAATCCACAGCACTCCTCCAACCAGAGAGACGTGTAACAGGATAAGGTTGAATAATTGTTTTCTTCCTTCTGGGATCCACCTTTCAACCTAGCATTTTCATTCCATCTTAGTAATTTTCTTTCCATTCATCTCTTCTTTGCATTTTACTTGTAGATACATTCGGTGGTGCACTTGTAGGGACACTTTCTTGAATTCTCCCTACAGCACCATACTGCACCTTGCACCTCTATCCATGCCACATAAACTCTTACTAATTAATCTTCATGTATATGATAGTGATACTAGTATAACATATATGAAAGTGTTTATTAATGAGATCTTTCTTCCTACTATTTTACCAACTACTCTTACATGATTTGCTAAAAAGTTAATGAATCTTTGTCTGTTACTTCCTGATGTTTCTCTCATGCTTTGAGCTTTTAATTTTGTTTACTTCTCTAAATTTTATCTGAATTTTAAAACATAAATAAACTGTTTGAAAATATGGCAGAGTGGACAAAATAATGTACTGAATAAATTGTGTGTGAGTGAAGTTTAAGATTACTTACACCATGACATAAATTTGTAGCTAACAAATGAAAATAACTTTCTAACAAAATTGACCTAGCTTATTAACTGTGTTAAGGCAATAATAGTAATAACCAAAGTTGTTATAAATCGAAGGCTTTGTTTCTATGAAAAAACCAAACTAAACTATATCCTTTAATTCACTTTTCTTTCTTCAAAACTTTTGCTTGTGCAAGTGTTCACTGTTCATTTTTAGATTGTTTTTATACAGCTATTACTATGAGTGAGGATCTGAAGAAAACTGGTTCTGTTGGCCATGAGAAAATGTCACAAGAGCAACATGCAAAGGTATGTTCAATTATCAAACTGGTTCTGTTGGACTCTTGGTGCTGATACATGAAAATATTGAAATCTTTTATCAGGCGTAAAGGGTGTGTGTGGTAGCTTATAGTATTTTGCTGTATTTCAGATCATTGAGGTGAGAGAGATGATAGGAACATTATCAGAAAAGGAAACTGTGTATTGTACTGATGCATCCATTTCGAGGTATTTAAAATCACAGAATTGGAATGTCAAGAAAGCGTCTCAAATGTTGAAGCAGAGCCTGAAATGGAGACGGGAGTACAAACCCGAAGAGATTCGCTGGGTGAGTTACTTCTTGTCTGTCTTCAATCGCTCTTGATTTTTTTTTTGTTCTGATGAAGTTATTTAACATGTGGTTTTTTGTCGGTTAAGGACGATGTTTCTAATGAAGCAAAGATTGGGAAAATGTATAGAGCGAATTATTGTGACAAGCATGGAAGACCGGTGATTATAATGAAAACCAATCGACAGGTTTCTTCTGAAAATCAATTTGAATACTATATATCATCATGTCTATTACAGAGCTGTGTTTGGAATGAGTGAATTGTGGATTCTATTTGTGCTGCAGAATTCGAAGTCGTTAACAGAAGAGATTAAGCATTTTGTTTACTGCATGGAGAATGCAGTTTTGAATCTACCACCTCTTCAAGAACAGGTGATCTGGCTGGTTGATTTCCATGGTTTCAATTTATCAAATATATCGTTCAAGATGACGCGTGAAATTAGCCATATATTACAAAAATACTATCCGCAGCGCCTCGGATTGGCAATCATGTATGATGCACCAGGGATTTTCCAACCGTTCTTCGCGGTAACAAAACAAAACACACTCTTATCTTTTTTGTGTCAGTGAAATTTTAAATACATGCTGCAAAAGAATGAATGCAGTACTATTTTGTAATGTGAAAGAATGAATTGTTGCAGATGGTGAAGGTTCTACTTGAGTCTGAGAGTTATAAAAAGGTAAAGTTTGTTTATCCTAACGACCAAAACACAAAGAAGATTATGGAGAGTTTGTTCAATATGGATCAACTTGAACCTGCATTTGGTGGGAACGACGACACAGAATTCGATATGAATAAATATGCTAAGAGAATGAAAGAGGAAGATAACAAGATGCACTCCTTTTGGACCTCACACAATATTCCTTCTTCTGATTCAACAGGGTCAGAAGCAGATTCTGATGCTTCCAACAATGAGAAAACACTTGGTTCCTCACTTCCTAACCCTGAGAAATCACTTGAAGTATGAGCTATGATATCCTAGTTTGAAACCTACATTTAAGAGACATGGTGTAAGCTTCATCTTGGATTCGTAATGATAAATGACTTTACCTTTAAAAATAACAGACAGAATACATGGAGCAATGCTTGTTTATTGTTGAAAATGCTTCAATAGTTAGTTATTACAGTATTTCGAGATTAGAACTCGTATTTTTACAAATATAAAAATGTGTCTCAACTGAAAGTATTAAAGTATTTCCACATTAGGAAATGTATTCAACAACAGGCTCATATAAACAATCACTTGTTCATCATGAGATAAATAAATGTATCTAAAAGTTTAAAGCTACCTAATAATACAAAGGTTCAAAACTATGCTAGAACAACCATAACAGCCTAGCTTTAGAAATATGTGCTAATATTGAAGGCAACTAGCAGTAACACTGAGAACAATCTCCCCTTAGGTGATTCATCTGTGGAAGTTTTTCCTGAAAGTGAAACAATCTCAGAATCAAAATTTAGCATATTAATAGAGGAAAAAGCAAAACAAAAACAGTAACTAGTTCTTATTCTTACCTAAATAATATTATTATTGGAACATCTCATCCAACTTCTGTCTGTAAAGCGCTAAATGCTGTAACCAACCAGTAAATTTGTCAGTGCAACCTTCCAGACAAACACTATCGATTTAAGAATCGAAACTTCTAATATTTCTATAAAAAAACCGTCTTAAATGGGACGAAATATAGAAGCGAGTGTAAAATGCATACCTTGGTATAGGCATAAACTCCAGATTCAGTTGGTCCTGTAGGACTCCCCCTCCTGATGAATCTTCCCTCTTTGAAAATGTAAAGCATTGGAATTCCGGTTGACAGTTCTAAGCTAATGACCTGTCAAAGATAGGGGGGAAGTCATGTCTTTATAGTTCGAATGAAAATTAAGAGCAAAAATAATTCTAAGTAGTTCAATCACCTCCTGGGAAGTTAACTTGTCGAGATACATGATAATGGATCTCAATGAATTCCCGTGTGCTGCAATCATAACATTCTTTCCAGATAAAAGTTTGGGTTCAATCTGCAGCGTTGATATTGATGGATCAGTTTTGTATCAAATTTGACTTTACAAGTTACAATATATATCAAACTACAAGCACACTGCAAATTAAATTTGCACGAACCCGGTCTCTGAAATAGGCAACTGCTCTTTCAGCGCACATTTCCAAACTTTCACCATTGGGAGGAGGTATGTCGTAGCTTCGGCGCCACTCATGGACTTGCTCTTTCCCGTATCTGTCTGCTGTTTCTTGCTTATTGAGACCCTGTAGTTCTCCATACCTGAAAGGACGACAACTATTTATGAATACACCAATAATACGGATACGTGTTATTCATAGCCTTGTAAAGCACAAGTTTCTAACATTAAGACCAAGAAAATGATTATTACATTCTTTCATTTAGTTGCCAAGCTGTTGTGACTGGAATGGACTGCTTTTTTGTATCTTCGCTAAAAACTTGACTCCATGCTTTTGCTTGCTCACTCTCGTCGTGCAAAACAACAGGCACCTGCAGGCAGGTTGATGGTTAATTTAGGGAAAACGATGTTTCAATACATTGCAGAAGATAATCTTGGAATGTGTAGACGGGAATTTAGTCGCTTCTATGTACATTATAACCATTATAACAAAACCTAACAATTTTTCTATTGCCTGATTTTCTGAGTACTATTGATTTGGAGTATGGCAAGCTTACTAATATTATGTAAGCTTTGTAGAAAAAAATGTCAGTTACATATTGTGTCACTTTATGAGACCTGAAGATTGTTATCTATTCCTGTTACCTTCTTACGGCGGTGTTGGGTCATGGCAAGCATGGCTGTCATTTGTGCACGAATCAACGCAGACGTAAATATGACATCAACAGGAATGTTACTAATCTTTTTTCCAGCTTCAATTGCCTCATCTATACCCTTCTTGCTAAGTGGTACATCAACACAACCTGTGAACAAATTCTTTTCATTCCACAACGACTCACCGTGTCGAATAAGGATCAAAGCTGCTTCATCTGATCCGGAACAAAGATAACAGTAGTTAGATTACAATAACATCCAATCACAACAACTTCAACTTTTCGAATGTCTAACAACCTAAAACTCGCGATCCAACTTCAACAACCAATCAACAAAAACATATCCGACACAGAACAACAGCAATAAATACAACTAACAGGAAAGTTTATCATACTTGATTTCTTAGAACTGTCACCGGTGTTGCTTCTTGAAGGGGCCAACACTGGATCAACAACCGATGTCTGAGAATGAGAAGCTGAAGACCGAATTACAAAACAATTCCTCTGGCTTGTCGCCAATCTTAACGAACCGCTCCTGAGATTTTGGCTATGATTCAAATTACTAAGGTAAGAATGAGACTGCAAAGTCCCAATAGCGTGGTGACATACTTCAGTAGCCATAATCTGAAACATTTGAAAACAAAAAACACAGTAAAGCAATACATTAGTATTGCCACAGCCACTTCACGATCAAGGCCACAAGAAACACAAACTAGTTTGCCTATAAGAATGATCAATGAAACCAAAGGAAAAAAACCATATAACAAACAATTTGAAACAAAGTGATTGCAGATCTATAGGAAAGAGAACAATGAAACAAGAGAAAACCCACATAAAATTCATGCATATATTTTATAAAAAAAAACTTTTGATAGTAATAACATATATATAGTTGAAAACCATCAATAGAAATGAATCAGCATACCCCAGATGCAAACAATGAAAGAAAACAGCGAGAGAAAGAACCAAAGACAAATATGAAAGAGAGAAAAACCGATATACCTTGTATATATAATGATTTTGGCGAGAAAAACGAGGTAGAGGCAATGAAAAGATGAGAACAGTGAGAGGGTATAACGAAGTAGAAGACGGAGTATAAGAAGAGAATGAAAGGGAGAGAAGAAAAAGAGGGAAAGAGGGTTGTTGGTATTTGTCGCAAAAACAAATTAGGCGATGCGAGTGAGGTCAATTTATAGAGTCGGAAAAATGGAAGAAATCGAAAATTGGTTTGTTGTGTTCAAAAAGTTACATATTTATGCATAGAACAACAACCTCCGAGAAATGGAAAAAAACAAAAGAATTGTCAAACTGAGTGAGGTTGTTTCAATTTCTTTTCTTTTTCTAATTATTTCGAGAAAGTTTAAAAAAAAGTTTTTTTGTTTTTTTTTATTACATAGATTTTTTATATTTATAAATTATTAAATTTTATTTTTAGTCTCTATGGAAAAAAAAGTTATATATCTTAATTTTTACAAAATTATTATGCATTAGTTTTAGTCATTTTGGTTAAATTAATATGTATTTTTGAATTATTATTTTACAGACATATTTAAAATATTATAAAAAGTTTTTTTTTAAAATTCAAAATTTAATTTTTAAATTAAAATTTTAATTATTTTAATTATTATCTTTTGAAATTTAAAAAAATTATATTTATTTATTTTTTATTTTAAAAAATTCAAGAATTTGATTAAAAAATATTTTATAGTATTTTAAATATGTATGAAAAAATCATTTATAAATTTAAAAATTAAAAAGTACTTAAATTATTTTTATAATTTATAAAAATAACAGAAATTAAAACTGAATAAATAACATTTTTATACAAATTAAAATATGTTTCTAATAAAGATTAAAAATGAAAGTTTAGATATTTATATAAAAAAAAACATATTTAACCGTTGTTTTTTTTTTTTAAAACAAACTTACATTGGTCTTTTCTACACTTTTAGGTTTCATAGAGATGTACATTGAGGATTTTAAAGAAAACAAAATTACTATGACAATGATATGATTAGAAAAGATAAAATGAAAAGAAATGGGAAAAAAATTAGGTATAGTTTTTTTAGGTTGTTATTACCATTTTTTAATAAAAATATTACAAATATATATAAATATGTTATTACCGGTTAGATTGTTTTTTTATGTTGTTATTATCGTTTTTTTAGGTTGTTATTATTATTTTTATGATATTTAAATATATTTATCATGTTTACATAAGAAAATAGTAAAAATCACATTTAAAGAAAGTGAACACTTAAATACTCTTGAATTTAATAGGGTATTAATATCTTTATCCAATCAAATATTATCATTCAATGACACGTAATTTTTTATGATTATTTTATTTTAAAGTCAAATCAAATTATAAACCAATTTACATTTAAGTATCAATATCCAATTATTTATCATGGATATCTAATAATTTACCTGGAACTGTATCAATGTTTTTTCAAAAAAAAAATATTTATTTTATAATAAATATCACATTTAAAAACAATATATATTTTAAAAAGATTACAATTCTGATTTTCAATTTAATTTTAAATATTTTTAAATATTTTTAATTATATTATTCATTAATATAACTTACAATAATCTCAAAGTTTCCCTACTTCTATTTTTATTATATATCAGTTGTGAATTAAAAAGTATAATTAATTTTGTATAAGAAAAAGAGATTATAAATAATTTTATAAACTTATTTATTATTGATGATTTTAAAAAGAAAAATTATAAAATTAGAAGAAACAAAAATAACAAATAATTGAAAATGGTGATAGGATGAGACATCAACTATATTGATATGGTAAAACAATTTAGAATTTAGTATAACTTTTTAATATAAATGACTTAATATAACAAAAATACATTTATTGTAATGAGAATATATCAAACTTTAATAGTTTATAGAAGAAAATATACGTACAACTTAAAAGAGATAATTCTAATGATATTTATTGATTGTGAAAAAGAGTTATTATAGAATGACTACTAAAAAGGAAAGGAAAATGGAGGGAAGTCTAAATTAATATTTTAAAAATCATATCGAATGAGGCGCTTCAATCGATTGGATTGGAAATTAAGTTGAATTTAGATGTATTAAATTGACTATTTTAAAATAAAAAATTTAAAATAAAAAAAAGTATGGGTTAAATAAAATTTTCTCCTACAATGTGAGCGATATTCAGTTTATCATCTTGCAAATTTTTTTATGATTGTAATGTAAAGTTTCGATTGCTTTGGTCTTTTTGCTCACATGACCTATTGAGGTGGTTTTTTTTAATTTTTTATTTATTTTTTAAAACCTACATAGATTTTTTTAAATATTTTTTAATTTAATTATGAGGATAAATTAAAACCCACTTATATTGTAGAAGATAAACCAATATAAACCAATAACACTTCATCTTTTTTAGTTTTATGCATATTCAAATCACCTTTAGTGGTGTTGCGAATGTCGTATTCATATTTTGCTCAATTTTGTATTCATATACTTCAATGAACTTTATAATACAAGGAGAGGGTGAGATTCACCGCTTTCATGAACTTGTTTCAAAGGTAAGATTTTGTCCACTTCAAGATGAAAAATTACCAAAATACCAAGATTTTTTACAAAGGAAGTGATCTCTAAGAATTTACTGGTTGAACAACAAAACCACAGAAATATGTTTAGTTGATTGTATATGTTGGAAAAAAATCTCGAAAGACAATAAGAACCGAATTTTGAGTAATTGATTGCATATCGATGTATAAATGCATCATCAGACGACATATGTTAGCCATCCTAAGATTCATTTCTTAAACGGTTCACCTAAAAATGAAATATCATACTGAGCGATAGGTTGTGGAGCAAAGACCTATAAGAGAAATCCAATGTTTCAGGAAATTCAATGTAGGTTAAATATCCATTTATGAGCTTCACATCTAGTATATCATCATGCAAGGGTTCATCAAGGGCAACATAGTTTTCATCTTTTAAAATAATGATTTGTGTCAAATCAAATAAACTGTGTCATGTTCTAGGCGGAAAGAGTACTTCAACTTCCGTTTTCCCTTACTCGAGAAAAGGAGAAATCATTAAACTGCTTCCAAGTAAGAACTGAGTGTTAAGGCCATAACATTGAACATAATTTTGAAATGAGAAGATAAGAGGTCGAACAATTGGTGCTCCACAAATAACACGTGAATGATCATTTGAGAATGGATAGAAAACACCAACTTCAATATAGATATTACAAAACTCTTCAGTAGGTGCTGGATAGAAACCACATATATCTGCACTAACCATGAAAGTGGTGACTCTCGTCTTCCCCTTGTAATATAATGTAAAGTTCATAGAAACGTATGAATACAACATTGATAACACCACTATAAGTAATTTGAATGTGCATAGAACTAAAAAAGATAAAGTATTATTGGTTTATATTGATTTATCCTCTGTAATGTAAGGGAATATTGATTTACTACATAATTAAAAATAAAATAAAATAAAATAAAAAAAAACCACATATATAAATCACGTCACGTCAGCAAAAGTGAATGTTCGTTATCAAGTTGTCATTTAAGAGGGCAAGTCTATCAATTTTAATATAATTATTAGTATAATTAATTTTGAGTTTTTTAATTAAAAATACATATATTAACCATCTCACTTAAATTTGTTGATATTTTTTAATTGAAATTTTATACGATTTATAATATTCCTTTTAATATTCACAAATCTATCGATTTTAATAGAATTTTTAGTATGATAAATTTTGAGTTTTTTAATTAAAAATACATATATTAACAATCTCACTTAAAGTTGTAATTTTCTCAAACTATCTCACAAAAAATTGTATTGCCAGGCTTGTTACTATATTGTTTATTTTTCTTTTTATTCACTTTTTAAACTAATAGACGGGAAGGAATAGCCCTAACTTATCTCTTAAGTAAGTATATCATGTCAAGACAATCTATATTATATGCAAAAGGAAACAACACATTTCAACCACAAGAAAAACAATTTGATATAAAAATATGCTAATTAACAAGTTCCCAATGAGACCATTCCTCACCAAAACACTTATTTTCTCTCCTTATTAATATCTACCTCGATTATCAAACGAGTTTTATTTTATCTATTTATAAAGATTTATATATGCGTATGAGTCGCGCAAACTCAATATAAATATAATATAAATATTATTAAGTTGCAGTAGTTATTAGGTTATACATCAAAATTATACATCAAAATTATGTTAAAAAATATATGAGTATATGATGTTGTACGTTTCACAAACATATATATAAAATTGATTATCTATTTGTACATTTATATATGTCGCACAATTTCGTTTAAATAGTAAATAAATATAGTATAGTGATGATTAAAAAATATATATAAAAGTTATACAAATAAAATTGTGTCGATCCGTCAAAAATATATATATTTTAAAGAAAAATATAAGAAATAATTAAATAGTCATTTATTCATGGTTTAATCTACAATAACGTTTAAAAAATTTTATTTTTAATTAATTTATAATTAAAATTTATTTTTAATTTCTTTCACGGTGTATTGTCTTGTTAAAGTAAAATAAATAAATTTTCTATATTAAATATATTAATTAAAATTT